TGTCCTACTACAACCATTGAGGAGCATATAAGTTGGACTGATAAGAATGGTTGCTGTTGCAGTGCTTGCTTTGGAGGGATTTGAATTAAGCCTCTATGTTTGCTTTATGTTAAGACTAATTTATGAGTGTAGACTAATTTATGTTTGCTTTATGTTTCATGTTGGATGGACTACTTTGCTTCATGTTTGATGTTGGATTGAACTTTGAATTGTTATATGTTTGATTGTTGGAGTTATTATATGTTAGATTGAACTTTGAGTATTTGATTTTTTAAATGTTGAAACCGGCCACCCAACCCACCCCGCACCACCCCAACCCAACCCAAACATGATTGGGTTGTGAAATTTTTTTAACATCGTTGGGGCCAAATATGTGCAACCCGCACCCTTTGGGGCGGGGGAAGAAAAAACCTTACCCCGCACCAACCCAACCCATGAACAGCCCTAAGAAGGAGGAGGAGAAAGTTCAGTGAAAAAATGTTTGGGGTTTTTTTTTTTATTATTTTTTCTCTTTTGTAATATTTACTCTTTTTAATATTTTTAATTAGAATTTAATGTTAAATTACCTTTTAATGACGTGTCTGTTAAATTTATAGACGGATTAAAATAGAGGGAGTAATTTGACATTTTTTCTATATATAAAAGGATGTTTTGAATCGTTTTAAAAAATTAAGAGGCATTTTGAGATATGGTGCATAATTCAAGTTATGAAAATAATCTTTAAAAAAAGGAAAAGCATCTTGATTAGCAAACATCGAGGAAATGGAGACCATATCGCTAGGATTTATCAAGCACGAGGAAGAAAGCCAATTTTAATTGTTTCAGCAAAAAACAAAAACAAAAAAACATTTTTTAGAAGTTTTTCCAAGAATTAACTTAATATTGCAGTTGGATCCCCCACCCAGAAAATAAAGGGATCCTAATTGGATTTTGGGACACATTCCCTACTTTTATCTTTTCTTTTTCAAGAAATGAAGGAGATTGTCCTTTTAATTAGGGATGATAAAAAATTATGTCATTTCTTAAATGCAATTTCTCCTCTTACTTTATCCCTTTATATATTAAATTTAGCTGTGGAGAATTTTAAAAAGACGTTCTATTTTCACACATCTCTTTACTCTCAACATCCTTTTTAATTATAATTTTTTATTAGAAAAGACTTTCATGTAAAATGACAAAAAATAACAATTATAATAGACTTAATTACATGATTAAATTTTATATAAAAATGAAATATTTTTCTCTTTACACACCCCACGTGTGATTTTCTCATATTATAAACAATTTCTATTTTGAAATTTATGGTAAAACTTTAATTCAATAGCTATTCTAAAAAATTACATAGATGCATGTTAAATTTTCTTTACTATTTGTTCTATAATGATTGTTCTTTTGCCTTTTCATTTTTGAAGGGCAATTTGTGTTTTATTTTCTTTTCGTGAATTGATTTTTTTTTCATTTTGTTCTTTTTTATGCTAATTATGCTCGTTTATTTATTTTTCATATTTTTTCCATTTTGTATTTTTAATCATAACTCAATACTATAATAACTTTGTTGCCATATTTTTATTTATTTTTTATTTCTGGAATTATATTGCTTTCTATTTATATTTTTGAGTGTCCTTTATGTTTTCTGAAAAAAGATTTTAAATTTTCTTTTTGTCCAAAAAAAGGCGTCATACCTAAAGTTTAACTAAGAAAAGGAAATATAAAAATGATAATAATAAAATTAAAAATTAAAATAAAATAGTGGGTGTGAAAAGAAAAATGAAATGATCAAGAATTAATAATCATGTGAAAATAGTTTAGGTTAATTTTGGAATAATAAAGATGTGTAGAAAGTAATTTCGACCATTTTAAAATTTTGTGGAGTGTGTGTTTAGAAGAGGGGTGTGGAGAGTAAAACATGGTGTGTAAATAGAACCATCCATTATAAAAGTAAGGAACAAAAACTTAAGTGGTGAGTTTAGCAGGGTATATATGCATATATGTTTTTTTAATTCTCATTCCTTAACTTTTAGGACCCAACCTGCAACCATAGCTCTTGATGCAAAAATAGTCCCCTTTACCGGTGGCGGAGCTATACAAGGTCGAGTGTTCAAAATGGGCCGGGCCTAGAGGGTCAACATGAGCACACCACGCTGAAAAGTGGGCACGGATTGATGCGACACAACAATTAATTGGACCTAACTAATCCGGTTTTTTAAATGGGTTGGGCTTGACGCGATTTTAGAGCGCAAAGCACACTAAGGGTTTGGCACAAACATGGGTAGGGGCACATGCACAAACACGTTAAAAACACGATAGGAGCCCAATTACAGGCATGATTTACGCATGAATTAAAAATAAATTGAGTTTACTCTTTTATTTAATTTTGTATTTCTTTTTAAGACTTATAATTGCGAGTTGTTTTTAAATTTTTGTTTTTTTTTTTTTTCTTTTGAGAGAACAGGCATGGTGGGAGTTTAAGTATAAATGTAGAAGTTATGAATGAACCGCCAAAAGATCGAGAATTCGTGATTTCGTGAGTGAGAGTCGCTGGAAAATTATTCAAATATATTGATGGATTGTTTAAATGATTGTCGTTAGATTGACTTCGAATTTATAAGAATTACTTTTAACGATAGTGATTTAAAATAACTGCAGTTAAATCATTCCGTATTTTTAATACCCCTTTCAACAACAATTGTGTGAGAAACCGTTGTTGTTTGATGTCGTCTATTTAGTCTTTTCTTGTAGTGGTTGTACTTTATTTTACACATTCAAAATCATTTTCTAAGCACCAGATTAGCCTTTGTGAGCTCACATATCAGCCGCTCATTCTAGTTTCCGGAGACAAGTGCTCCGTTTGTACCAACTTTATCACTGGCTTGCTTGTTTGTTTCTCAATAAAAGTTGTTATTTCCATTTTACTACTTTATCATTTCACTAAGAATCCCCAAATTCCCTCAAGTTTCTAACATTAATCAAGCTGAGCTACTCATTATTATATATCGAAGAGTTATATTAATTTGTTTCTTCAATCTTCATGATCCATCTAATACCGCAGATCATCATAGTTCCTTCACCGAAATATCGGTAAAAACTAATTCAAACGCGCAATGGTTCGAATACCATATATGGTTCAAAATGCGACTCTTCACTCTTCTTATGTCGTTATAATTTGTTGATCAAGAAGAAAACGGAGGTGATTCCTTGGCGCTTTAGGAGCAAATGGTCTACGTCTCTCCATTATCTCAATAGTATCACGTTTTGGGCCTCACATATTTATCGAGAAGGCAATCAAGTTGCAGACAAGTTGCGGGTCTTATGGAGTTCAAGTATATTCTTCTTAATTAGTGGTGGAGTTTACAGTTCTTGATTTCTGTACACAGTTAGTTGGTACAGAAATGGCTGGCCTTTTTTCCCAAGCGGTAGCCAATTCTTTGGACAAATACGTACTCTTTTCCGTTCACAAGGTGTGAGTCATGGCTCTATTCTCTCTACAGGGATAACTACGGATAACTGCCAGGTACTTTTTTTTCTTAATCATGATTTATATTGTATTTGGGCTTCCTTAGCTTTTTAACACTTTTTGGACATCACACTGTATTTTTCTTTTCTTTCTTTTTTTTTTAAAATAAAAATTAGAGTGATGGGCTTAATGAGAAATTGATCGTTTTTAAGTGCCAAGTTAAGACTTAAGTGGGATGTGATTTTCTTTTTTGATGTTATGTTATAGTTCTCCATTCTCTTCGGTTCTCCCTAGAAAAAAAAAAAATTAATAAAGACAGACTTTCCATTTCATTTTATAGAATTCATACGTAAATATTGTGATAATCATGAAACGTACGTAGAATAGTCGTTAGAAACGTAATATTTGATTGCTCTTTTTGTTGAAGAGCTTTCCAGCAACATATTTTACAGACCTAAAACAAAGCCAAAGTAAAATTAGCGTCGAAGTCAATTACATATAGTGAACTAGCGGAGAAAGCTCCTGATCCTCCATGCCTTAAGCTGAAACTCAAACCACTGAGAAAAACGGCTGGCCAGTAGAATGGTCCGCAATATACATACACATATAAAATATGGACGAGTTTTTAATGGTTACGTTATCATCAGTGGTTATTCATCAAATATAAAAATATGATGACGTTGTGTGATAAAAATCTAATTTCATATATTGTCATAATTCTTTTTTGGTCAACAATCCAATTTATTACAGCTGTTAAATTAATATCTTATGACTAAAATCGTGCTATAATGATGTGTGAGTCTAATTTTTCCAAGCTGAAAGCTGTTCATGTAATATGAGGCATAGATGGACATTACTTTCCAGTGCTATCTCTTACGTACTATATACTTGGAGATATTAAAAATATCTTATCATCAATACATCTTCTTCGCGAGCTAATTAGAAGACTACCATCTTTAATAAGAGATCCAAACTCTTAATTACTGGAGACAATATTTAATGGAAGTATTTGCACGATATTTATGTTAGAATTATATTATTATTGTTGGTCAACCTCCTAATAACTTTTAACAATTTACTTAGTAAAACTGGTAATTAACAACCATATAACATTAGATCAGTGCAAGTCTCGTTAATTAAATCATATGGTCTAAAAGTGCCGTCATCCATATGTCATCAATTGAGTCACATATACTAGATCTTTATTTAATATCTACTATATTTTAGTACAGCTAATAAGGACCAACTAGGGTTTGTCCTTGAAAATTTTTCAATCTCGAAATTATTTGTAGGGATGCCTTATTGTACGACATGAAAGCATTACAGTACTGCGTTAACTGGATACGTTCATGCATATGTAATGAGCACTCTTAATTATTCATCCCATTTTTCGTATATAATAGCAAAAGTACTCGTACTTTTCTGCACCATCCTACATAATTCGTAGGGAAATGTTGGATGAATTTGTAACAAAAGAATCATGAACGGTGGCTTTTCGCAACTGAAGAAAAATAATTACTCTTGTTTCCCATTCAAATAAAGATTGATAATACTGGGCAATATATATAATGTTGCTGCTATTTCATCAAAAAGTTCTAGGATATATATAATATATATGTAACTAATTAAACTTACAATATGTATTTGGTAGTGCTACTAAAAAGCAAACCGTTGAGACTTAGCTTGCTATAATAGAAGATTATTTATAACTATTATAACATACTACGTACTATTTGCAGAAATCTGAGGGATTACATTTTCAAGCACATTTCTAGCATGTCCCTTTTCTATCCCCTCCCCCATCCATTTGCCCGCTGGGGTGATCATCTGCAAAATAATATTCAGTGAAATGCAAATTAAAGTATATCAATAATGTTTTATGAGCTACAAGGATAACGTAAATAAATTTAAAAAAAAAAGAAAAACTAAAAGGATCAATATTGGTTTGATCTCTTGTGATAATTAATCACATTTATGATGTTTGTTTTGCAGACGTATTGATTATGACTAATTAAGAAGTTAATTATACACCATCATGAAGTTAGCTAGTGTTATGACTGATAATCCACTAAGACCCTTCTAAAAAATGTGCACATGATATTGCGCAACGATTTATTGAATTAATGAAAGTATAGAAGAAATTTCCAAAAAGTATTAAAAAAAAAAAGAAAAAGGAAACTATATGCATATGCATAGAACAAATGTGTGTGTATGTGCTTATCATTGTAGTTGTGACAAAACCTCCGAGAGTATGGATGGAATAAGAGGAGACTAATAATCAGATTAAAAAAATTGTACGATAAAGAGTGTTTTGGTATGCCGTGATAAATTATATTCAATACAAATATCGCTTATGAGTATATTTGCTGCAATAATACTAAATATTGTGTAGTACATACACTGCAATACAATATAATATACCACAGAGTTCTAAACAAAGATTAAATGCATTATAGATCTCTTGTTATGAATGCTACTATGTCCTCCCATTTTTTAAATTAATATCCCATATTATTTTCTCAGCAAGGTTACCTTATCACTAGTACATGTCAAACCGTTAAATCTAATAAAATAAAAATATAAAATATATGAAACTGAGAAAATTTAACACCAATTTGACAGAAAAAACGGAACTTTACAAATAGTGTGTTTTTTTTTTTTAATCCCTCAATCTTAAACTCAAAACTAAATTTGTTGAAAACGACTCGTACATCTACTGCATACCAATTGAGCTAGCTTCAATTATATGTATGGTACTGCCATTCCACAATCAAAGAATACTAGATAACTGACGTGGGTTGTCAGTCACTGGCTAGCTTGTTTGATAGCTACAGAGACAAAACCTCCTTTCTATATTACCTAGCTAGTTCTCACCAATAATATACTAAAGTAAAGCAATGAATTATTTGAGGTCGTACAAGTATAAATGTATACCGCACATTCGTTCTAACTTTTAGCTATTTCAATTCATTATACTATTTTCTATGCATTAATATTCCAAGTTTTCTAAGGAGTGATAAATAATTTAATTAAATTTCTACCATAAAAGGAAATTATCGAACTTTATCTACTGGTTTATCACTAGATTGGGGCCATTGTTTGGATCAATCTCAATAATTCATGCAATTGTGGGCACAAAATGATTTAGCCTAGGATTTAGAGGCAGTGATAGTTTGTTCCATTTTAGTACTTTTACATTCAGGATTCACTGTTAGTGAAGTTATGTATACATATATATATATATATATATGGGTTTTATCTCATAATCTGTTGGTTTGCATTACAAAACAAACATTAACAAAGCATGTGATTCTGTATATGGTCATTTTTTTCCCCTTCTGTAAAAGAAGAGAAGCAAAATTAGGATAGGAAACTATATATAGTACATAATCCAATAAGTTTAGCACCAACTAAAGCTCTTTATCTATGCCAAATCCCATTTAATACACAAAAAATAATTTAAAAAAGAGTAAACTAACTCGAAGGGTGCAAGTGCAACACAAAATAAACTCGCTGAAAATGCTTACAAACGCATCTTACAATGAAAAAGGAAAACAAAAACTCATTAAAGATTTTTCGCTTAAAAAATGAAACACGCCTCATTAAAACCCCTAAATGTAAAGATCTAATGAAAATACCCATCTGAGAGAAACAAAACGCATGATCTTCTAGAAGAAACAATTGCCGCGTGCGTGTGCACAAATACAAATGAATAAAGAACCATGAAAAAAAAAAATATGGATAGGGTGAGATGTGGTTTCCAGTAGGTGCCAATATAATTGAGATGTACTAAAAACTGAAGAGGACGATGATATTCTTATTAAAAAAAGAAAAAGCAAAAGTAACCTTAAATTCATTTTTTATATAGGCTTAGATAAAACTGAGCTACATATGAATAGTCTTATACTATGTAAGAGGCCTAAAAAGTTCAAATCTAGGTTATTTCATAGCATGCAAAAGTATCAATACAAGATCTTAAACTTTTGATAAAAGCAGGAATATTGTCATCTCTGAACAAAATTCTCGGAGGAAACTGGAAAGCATGTAATGTTTTCATCACCTAAACCCCAATAGCCCCTCCCTAGCTAACAGATTAAATTTTGAGGAAAAGATTTTTGTTAATTTAGTTGTGTATTTATACAATAACCACTTGTGCACAGCCTGAATAAAAAGCAGTTCCTTTTGTGCTGGGATTAATTGCTTAATAATTATAATATCTATACTAATTATATATTATTTGACCTATCATGGCATAGTTTCTATTTTTGCACGTGAATAAAAGTAGCTTGTGATTATCATAAACAAAACTTGTATATACAAGTACAAGTATTTCAAGTGGTAACTGACTTTGTCTGGTCTCTACTTTATAAACTCTCTAGTGTTGAGATATATAACACTTTGATTCATCCTTCTACCCTTGTGAAAAAGTATAAAATTGCATATCAAACCTCAGTTAATGAATAATATTTGATAATAGGGATCCAAAATTTACGTTTCTCCAATTCAAACTAGCTATATCTACCATTGTCCTTTAAAATGAAGCGCATTACTATCCTTTTAGAAGTAAAGTTCAAAAAAGAATTTAAAATAATGATAAGAAAATCATAGTATAGCAGAATTAGGATTTCACACCAATTTTGATATCTGGCTAATAAGATAAGGCCCGAATATAATGTCTGGCATATACATGAAGCATTAAGCCGTACTCCTTGTCACTTTATTCCCTTATATATTGCTGATCTCTCTCCTTTATCATTTAGATTTTACTGAATCAATACTGATCAATCTCATATTTTTAATTATGTGAGAGCTTGGAAGTAGTTAAAGTTTAAAAGCATTAAATTATTATGAATTTGAAACATTCTGTAGTACTAATTAATCTATCTTTGTACGTGGTTTGGTATTTTATCTTTTTTCAGAAGTGAATTTTAAAGTTCTCCTTAAAAAATAAAAAATAAATAAAAAATAAAAAATAAAAATAAAAAATAAACCGGAAGATTTATACAAATTAAGTGTGCGCAAGAAATGAAAGATATTTTACTTATTACAAAAACTCTGCAACTCTTGTAGTGCGGTTTCTCTGTTAAATCTTACCATTTTTTTTTATATTGCCTAAATGAGTTAGCTAACAGATAAGAGATCATGCATGACAGATATTTTTGAAACTAATTATATATATATAAAGAATTTTTTCTCACAAGTTTGCAATCAACATGCTGAATTGATCTCCAATAAAACAAAGAGGAGTGCTAGCTAATTGTTAGGGTCAGAAAGAGTTTCCAATTATTAGAAATTTGACTTATCATCAAGAAACCACTACAAAATCTGATTGGATACAAGGTCTGATAATAAAACTTCTTTTCTAGTTTAGTGAGCTCTTTATTTTAGTATTTAGGAGAATTCAATCCAATATAGTTCAGTATATTCATTTTAAATTTAACGGGCTAATAGTACTATCATTGATCTATTTGTGTTGTTTATTATAAATTATAGAAAAAGCCAATAGGCTATCCTAGTTTGTAATTTCTTTATATATTAATAGAAACTTCTACCAATTTAAAAATATTTATACCGTACTCTATACGATGGATCCCATTAATAACGAAATGTCTACAACTAATTTTTTAAGGTCGCGTGTCTTGTTTTATGGTTTATCATCCACCTACTTGTGTCTATATATATATATATATATACATATATATGTATATGTATATGTGTGTATATATAGGTGAATGTTATAATAAAAAAAATGAACATTTTTCTGTTTAGAGATGCCTATTTCACTCCATGCTCAATTATTGCATACATAGTGTGAGAGTAACTAGCTAGCTAGCCAATAGTGGCTTTATACATAGGCGTAGACTCAATTAACTACCATAGGCTTAGGGGCGGACTCCTAAAAATTTCCAAATGTGTTCAGAGAGCATAATAAAGTAAGTAATTTTCTTTTATAATTAGGTAATAAAAGAAGATATTAATGCTTAACGACTAAAGATTAATATGAAGTTAGATGACTAATTTTACTACACAAACAGGGCGTCACGGCCAGTCTATCATCTCGTTCATTTTTCTTCTCTCCCATCTCCAACTTAGAACCGATCACCGAGGCCTTCATTAGCAAAAAGGTTCCAATTTCATTGAAGATTGTTTTGTTCTAAATGCTTAAGCGTGTATAAACCGAAACTTCTAAGTAATAAGAATTCATTTTGCCAGCTCCAACTTACTGTTCAACTAGCGTATATTTTTTTTGAAAGGGAAATTGCATTTAATTAAAAATTGATAAACAGTCATCTCGGTATAATATTAATGACCTATTAGAGGGACAGACACACGCTTGAAGCCCGAAAATGAGAGAACACCTCGGCACACTAACAATAAGCACACATAAAGCTCGAATTGAAGAAACCCCTCCTATCGAGATAGGTTTTCAAGCGTTGAAAGAACAGATCACCTAACCCCACAAAGAGGGGACATCTACACGACATAAAAAAAATTCTAACCAGATCAAGACAATGCTATCATGAGACATACAAATGGCCTTAATTTAATAATTTATTATATATTTATATAATATTTAGTGTATGTTCTTTTTAGTTTTATTTAAGTACTAATTGACGTGTCATTTAAAGAAAAAAGAACGATTAATACTTCAACTAAGGACTACTACTTGGAAGGTTCTAAAATGTACAATATATATAATCCAACTAATGTTTTCCCCCTTCTAATTTCAGCGAAATAATTCTATCGGAGAATGTGGCAGAAGTTTGAGATTAAAGTCAAACGCAAGTAATTTACTAACGTAGCTGGCCAATACAAAATATACAAGACGATGATCAAAGACATATTAGACAAAAACATACAATGACGTACAGTACAATGCTTGGTTCATCAAGATCTTGAAACGCATTTGTGATTATATATTTATTATGAAAATTAATCTAGTTTAAAAAAGGAACAAATTCTTTAACAATTAAATAAATGGCCAGCCAATGAACTGTAAACATATTCTAATTGATTATGGTTCCACCACAATTAAAAGTATATTATAGAATCTTGACGCACCAAGCACAAATTAAAATCCAATCATTATATATTGGATTGCTAACGTTTTTACTAATGATCAGAAAACAACGTATAAAACCGTTTTCCATGAAAAAAAAAGGAAGAAAGAAACGGACAATTTATAAAAATGTATGCATACACACGTATATATATGAGTTAGTTTTTACGTCCATGAGTATATAAATCACATGCAACGTATGATATATCACATGGTAACCATGGGGAGCAGAAAATCGAACAGAATCACAAAAAGGCCAGAAAACAAACGAAAAGTAAACGAGTAATGAAAAATATTTAATTAGGACATCACAAACAGTGTTTTTGCCTGATTTGAGAGAGAAAGAGAGAGAGAGACAAACAGTTAGAGAGAGAAAATATTAAAGCCTATATATGCTTCCCACCCTAATTATGGCATCTTATACATAGCGAGAGAGTGAAAGATGTTCAAAACTTACCTACCAAACATCTTGGATCAGTGTCGCAATTACGGTATCTACGACAATAATCAAGCAAATTAGGGTTTTTGGGGTCTAAAGTCTAGGGTTTTAACATGGAATACAGATCCCCAAGTTCGAAGATCATTATTTCATCCTCAATTGGAAGAATTCTTCTTTCTGGAAACTTAACAAGGGCTATATATACCAGACCCCCTTTATTATTCGTTGCTTATATATCAAATTTTGAATGAATTAGACAGTTGAAGTATGAAGCAGAAACAACAAGACTTTCAAAACAAATGATAGCTATATATAATAAATAAGAAGTAATAAATTGAATTTAAGATTAATAGACGAAGATAAATATATGATTACCATGAGATCAGATCAAGCTAGCAGGATCAGATTGAGGGGGCAACTAAGAAGACTGCTTCAAAACCTTGGAGTCTTGATCAGTAGTGGTGGTTGGCTTGATGAGCTGATTATTCCTCTTCTTCTTCTTCTTTTTGTAGGGAATACCCCTGGCCTTGGCTTGACACTCCTTCACTTCACGTAAGTAGACCCGAATTGCTCCGTTCCCGAAAGGGTTGGTCTCGGGGGAGCCGCCGTGCTCCTCGTAGGCTGCACGGAGCCGCCCGATCAGCGCGTCGAGGCTACCCCAGGCCTGCCGGAGGGGGCAAGTGCACGGCGCGGGGGGGTCGGGCTGCCCGAAGAACACGCAGCCGTGCAGGTGGACCTTGGTCTTACCGAATTGGTCGAGGTAGCGAAGGAAGTCGAGCACGTGGTTGCAGTTGCACTGCGAGAGCGCCACCGGCGGGGTCTGGTTCTTCAAGTACTGACCGAACGTGTTCCAGTCCCGCTTCTTCTGGGACTCGTACCGGCTCAGAGGCGCGGCCGATGGTTGCTGTTGATGATGATGAAGATCGGCGGGGGCGGTCGTCATCGTTATGGATCGCGACGACGAGCCCTCCGCCGCGGAGTCTTTTCGTCTGTCGCCGGACATAGAGAGAGAGAGAGAGAGAGAGAGAGAGAGGAAGGAGGAGAGAACTCCTTGTGTAGTTTTTTCTCTTGGCAAGAAATGACAAGGAAGGAAAGAAAAGAAGAAGAAATGGAGGTGGGAGAAAGAATTGGTTTAAGTGCAGAGAGGAGAAAGATGAAATCACATCTTTGGGTCTACTGAGAGGACATGACATGGGCCCTATGAAAGTGCTTATGTTCCTCTTTTCTCTCTCTCTCTCTCTCTCTTCCCCTCTTTCTCTCATTTTAATTAATTTTTGTGACACTATTTGCACTAACTATATTTTATTAATTTAATCTGTAATCATGCACTCTTTCAAAAATTATGCATATTTAAAGAAAACGATTAATGAAATCTAGCTAATTGCAATACTAATGGTATGTCATCATCCATACAATCATTATCACTATACATTTTAATTTCTTTTTTACATTATGATCATATAGAATAGAATGGACCCCGGTAGACGACTCATTTGTCGGTGTTATAAACTTAGTCCAAACTCATGAGTTTTCCCGTCCAATGTTAATTTTACAAAATTAGGCCTATCAATTGATCTTATAACCTGGTACTGCCTAATTATTCTTTTCATTCACTGCCAAAATAAAATATTAATATTTTTTTCACTGATCAGCAAGGGCTAGTAATAGGATTCTATTATTATATATTAAAAGAGCTAAAGAGGTTATTGTGAAAAATCATTACCACCATGATCAATCCGTGACCACTAAAAAAGTAATAATGACCAATATATAATACAGAATGATATCCCAATGTCATTGCCGATCGATTCTATAATTCATTTAAGGGGTTTTTTATCCATATTTTATATTTCATTATTTTTTCCTTTTTGGGAAATCTTTTTATTGTTCTTATGTATTTAAATTACTTGTTCACATACATATTCTCACACTAATTTCTTCATACTAAAGATAAATTTATGCATATATCCTGATTCCTATTTGTATGACGTTGGTTCACTAGATTAATCATCCGTCGGAATCTTCATGTTTATGACTTTTTTTCAAAGACTTTGCTTGAATGGGGCAGAGAAAACAGTAAATTATCAGGGGTACCCTGAAAATCATGTTTTGAGATTTTGAGCTATCTGTATGTCAGATTTTGAGTGCATCTACGTGCATGAAGTGACCAAACATTCATTATTAAATATGCATGTTCGTATCCCCGGCCCAGAAAAAATATTGCTGTATATATATACACACATATATGTGTGTATATATATATAAGCAGGAAATTTTCTAGTTGTACTGGTGAAACCTCGAAATTAATTTCTGTCTACTTGTTGTTATTAAATTACCACCTAGAGGACAGGCAACCTCGACTGGACACATGATCCCAAAATTCAGCCACTTATTATAAACAGTAGTCGTTTTTTGTCATATATAACAATATATACATACTTTTTCTAAGCCAAATATATAAGCGCGTTTTGCTACAGAATCAGCACTATTAATTTAACTTTTACCTTAGAAACGTAATAGGACTTTTGCACCAACAAAAAGAGAATCTACTTGACTCATAAGTTTGAAACATTAGAAAAATTTGGTGCATATCATGAGGTTATGAAGAGGCCATGACCGACCAATGACAATATTTTAATGTAGGCTAGGGCTTAGGTAACTTGGGGAAGAAGGAAGTGGTGAATACTTTTCCAAGTATGTCATGGGAAGGATTTTCACTATTACATCTATAGGTATATAATACACGCAAAGTTTGATAAATTTTGATTTTGTGGCAAATAAATGATGAAGAGAAATTACTTTACAATGATGATTCGGATGCAATATGTATATATAAAATGAAAATTAAAGAATATGAGACAGTGAGAAGAGGGAATGATGCAAATTTGGGAGACATCTTTGAGAGATGGGGTCCAACGTTCCTCAGTATATGTCCCTTTGAGCCATTATAATGCTGCTTGGAGTTTGGGCACTGCCTTTACATGTTTCAGTTGTTGGGCACTAATTCTATGGACTGACCCTTTAGTGTGTCACAAAGAATGACTGCATGTCCCTAACAAAATTAATTTTAGAAATCCATATGTGGAAATGTATATGGTAATTACATCAATTTATAATAGGACATAAAGTTAACTTAATTTCATGCGCGCCTTGAAAAAGATAAAAGTAATTACAAGTATTATTGCTATCGGCTAAGTTAATTTGTGGGAATCCTAGTTAATATTTACAACCCCGCAAAAAATAGTTTTAACCCTCAGTTTTCTTTTCCCTCCATTTTTATGTAAATGATGAAGGAATATAATTACTAGGCATCAAAGAATGGGAAAACATCCTAATCAGCTTGGCAATATCCTATTTCTTTCTAATCTCGTACTTACAAACACACTCTAATTATATTAAATTAAATAATAGAAAAAAACATCTAAGTTACTGCCCGAAGGCTACAAGGAAAAAGCCAACGAAAAAAAAAATCTAAATAACTGAAGTAAAGAAAAACTAACTAAACCTGACACGAGGAAAGACCTTATTAAAGCATTTAGGAAGAAAATGCAGGGCTCGTTTAATTCACTGATTCGAGTTTTTAATTCGAGTTGAAATGTAACTTTATGTGAGACCTTTTTACTGTAGCAAAAAAGTTAGATGTGACTGTGTCTGAGAGCTTTTTACTGTAGCAAAACTCAAATTCTAAACTTAAATCGATGAAATGAACGGGACATTTCCAATATCCTTCTGAAGTAATTTTAAGACATCATTAACCTAAGATACAACAAATAAAAGGAGCATTTTTTTGTTTTCAATAAATTTGAAATTTCTCTCACAAACTATACTTGCGTCGACCCTTAAATTTTAAGGCATACATATTGTGCCTCTTGATATACAATAGGGTCTCTATCTAGATTAACCGCAAACTTTCAAACCCGCTCTTTTTTTTTTTTTTAATTGAATAGCACACGTGATGATCATGCAAGAGGAGGGAAATGTTATTAATTAATTCTTTAAACCTTAATTAACCCAATTGAATCCCGAAAAAAGCGGCAAATAGCATATTTGTAAAGGGTAATAAAAACTAATAACAACTTTCTTAAAGGGTAGAAAATAATAGCATATTTTAAACTCATAATTGTTAAAATTCTTGTTCTACCCCGCATAGCTCCCCCATTCGTATCACACTCGGCCTCATCTTTTGCGACGACATGAGCACCTGGATCTGGTGTCACAACAACTCTTCGATGGCAACTAATAATGAAGTTCTTGTTGGGTTGTGATGGAGTCTGGTTGAGGAAATTGAGGAGCCTCTCCAAATGAATATCATGAGGCGAAGAAAAACATCGTTGAATTGTCGTCCCACCGTATTTGCGCAGAGGAGAGGACAACCATTGCAGATGCCATTGGCAATGCGAGAGAGAGAGCTAGCTATCGAGGGGAGAGAGAGTGAGAAAGATAGAGAGGAGAGTGACAAAGAGAGAAATAGAAAGAGAAGAGAGAGAGGGTTTGGGAGGAGATCTAGGGTTTTCAAACTTTGGGGATTTTTTATGGTTTTAAAATTACTATTAGTTATTAAAAATAAGAAGGTAAAATGGTAAAATACATAAAACTTTTTTAAGATTATGTTATTTACTAACTAGCTAAAAGAATTATGTTATTTACTGTTTTAAGTTTATGAAATTTGCTATGTGCTACAAAATCCGTTGAATCATGGTCCATTCTCTTTTCATGTTGTTTCCTTCATTTCTTGCTTCAAATCAACTACTCCAAAATAGAGAATTTATATGAATTTCGGTGCGTAACTAATTTATTTTGAATGAAGACATTCATTATAACCTAAATGTTATACCTAACCTTAAAATCAAGTGACAACCGACATTTTTATCCAACGTTTCAAAGTTTTGAAAGGAGAATATGGAGGTGTATTAAATAGATCAAGAAGGACAACAGGTATGTTTCATAGCTCGAGAGACATGTTGACACAAATGACATAGTTCATGAGGAATTTGTAAAAATATATACCCTTTTTTATCAAGTGCTTTTACAGAAACTGATTTCTCTCTTAATGCCAGTACAATGTTATCATCCTAACTTGCTCTTATTCAAAGTCAGAGACACGACATAAATATTTCATAAGTTGAGAGACATATTGACACAAATAATATAATACAGAGAGAATTCACAATGACATTTATCCTTCTTTTTTTTATTTTAATCAAAGTGCATTTACAAGAACTTTAGATTTCTCTCCATACGACTAAAATGTTATGGTGTTAACTGAGGGAGAGAACGATTAATTATGTACAAATTTTACAATGTATGTATAGGGTAAATTTAGCAAAAATGCATATGTAGCATGTAGGCCTTCGTCAACAGAATCATCTTCAAAGGAGAGCCGCTCCCCAAAAGCTCCTGTTATGGTACCTTTCTAATTAAAAATCATGAATCTGACATATGTTTGTACAAAATGTCTGCTAATGACCACAATAACAATGGAATAAAAACTGACACTACTTAATTCTAATATATTTCAAATCCGGTACACAAAAGTGTGTCTGACCATGACCCCATATATATATATATATATATATATATATATACACACACACACACACAC